GGGGCAGCAGCATAAAATGGAGTAAAAACAGCCTCTTCAGCAAATGGTGTTGGGAGAACCGGACAGCTACATGCAAAACAATGAAACTCGAGCACCAACTTACACCATGCACAAAAATAAATTCAAGGTGGATAAAAGACTTAAATATAAGCCATGTCACCATTAAAGTCCTAGAGGAAAACATAGGCAGGAAAATCTCAGATATTTCACACAGCAACATTTTTACTGATATGTCCCCCAGAACAAGGGACATAAAGGAAAGAATAAACAAATGGGATCTCATCAAAATAAAAAGCTTCTTCACAGCTAAAGAAAACAGTATTAAAATAAAAAGAGAACCAACTGTATGGGAAAACATATTTGCCAATGATACCTCAGACAAGGGTTTAATCTCCAAAATATATAAAGAACTTATATGACTGAACTCTAAGAAGACAAGCAACCCAATTAAAAAATGGGCAAAGGACTTGAACAGACACTTCTCCAAGGAGGACATACAGAGGATCCAGAAATACATGAAAAGATGCTCAATGTCACTAGCTATCAGAGAGATGCAAATTAAAACCACAGTGAGATACCACTTTACACCAGTCAGAATGGCCATCATAAACAAAGCAACAAACAACAAGTGTTGGAGAGGTTGTGATGAGAAGGGGACCCTAGTACACTTTTGGTGGGATTGCAGACTGGTACAACCACTATGGAAAACAGTATGGAATTTTCTCAGAAAACTAAAAATGGATCTGCCTTTTGACCCAGCAATTCCACTGCTAGGATTATATCCTAAGAACCCTAAAACACCAATCCAAAAGAGCCTATGCACCCCAATGTTCATAGCAGCACAATTTACAATAGCCAAGTGTTGGAAGCAACCCAGATGCCCATCAATAAATGAATGGATCAAAAAACTATGGTACATTTACACAATGGAATTCTATGCAGCAGAAAGAAAGAAAGGAGCTCCTACCCTTTGCAACAGCATGGATGCAATTGGAAAGTATTATGCTAAGCGAAACAAGCCAGGCAGTGAAAGACAAATACCATATGATCTCACCTTTAACAGGAACCTAAACAACAAAACAAGCAAAAATATAACCAAAGACACTGGAATCAAGAACAGACTGACAGAGTTCAGAGGGGAGAGGAGAGGGAATTTCAGGGGAAAAAGGGAAGGGTTTATAGGAACGAGTATAAAGGACACATGGATAAAAACTAGGGGTGGGTGGAAATGGGAGGGAGGAGGGGAGGGCTGTGTGGGTGGGTTGGGATGGGAGTAAAAGATAGAAAATTGTACTGCAAGAACAATTTAAATGAATTTAAAAAAAAAACAAATCTGTTGATTAGGACAAGTATGATCTTTCCTGACACTGAGACCAGAGGTGATGTATACCCAACACGTACAATTGTGCATGGCATTCTCAATGATTGCTCTGTGATAAATGCAACAGGTTTCATAGCCTTGCTGCCTCTTAATATTGGACATCCAGAGGTATTATAGAGGATTTTCTTCATTGGGTAAAAAATTGGACTAACTGGTTATTTTATTGGAATATGGTTATTCCGTATAATTTCATATAATATCCATAAATGGGCTAAAGTCCCTTCTAATGATAAGAGTCTATCAATACTGGCATGTCCCTTTCCTGGGAGACAGCTACACTTGCTTTCAGAAGTCACCTTTTGATGGCCATGATCTAAAAATGTGAATTAAGTAAGGCATTTATCATCCATGGGAACTGAAGGGGATATGAGAATGTCAGTGTTGAGCAAAAGGATTGCTGAGTATGAGAGAGGACCTACTAAAGATCAAAAAACCTGAATTGATACAGTTTAGTAAATTTGCAAAGAGAGTCAAGACCTGCTGGAAAAAGAGAAATTTCCAGAGGCTCTAGAGAATTGTGTGGAAGTGGATACTCCAGGAACATAGGTTTCAGGTTTGACTCAGTTGCTTTTAATCTGGAAGCTGAGCTTTAACACCACTTTGAAATTTACAGTGATGGTCTAACTGCACTCAAACAAGATAGCCTAGCATTTAAGAGTGTAGACTATGAGAACACACCAGCTGGGGTCTATACCTCTAAATAGCTCTGTGACCATAGGTGAGTTAACCTTCTCAACCTGCAGCTCCCTCATCTGCCAAATAGGGTGTAGTAATAGCATATAATTCACAGGGTGGTTATGAAGAGTAAATTTGACAATGCCTGGGACTTTTAGTAAGTACCAAAAATGTGGTGAACAACATCATGGCTTGAGAAGTCTTTTTCCTAAAGCTGGTGATTAGAACGAAATGGGTAACCCGCATTTATAATTCTGAGAACTTCCAGGTGTGCTGCCATCGCCTTTCCACCCGGTTGACACTACAACTCCCTCCCTCCCCCATAAAAAAGTGAATTTTAAACGAGGCCTCTCTTTAGTTAGTGAAGTGTTTGTGAACAGACACATTCCAGTGGTTCCTGTCCCAGAGATGAGAGTGGAGAGCCCTATGAGGATTTGGAAAGTTTGAGTGTGTGTGTAGGACTAACACCTGGTAACACAGTTAGCAATCACATTAGTCATCAGGCTTGTTAAATTGCCTTGGAACAACCACAGAGAAGGAAAGTGTTGGAGCGTCATGGTGCAGTGGTATGGGCAGGCAGAGAGGGGACACATATATCTGCCTTTAGCTCCAGGTTCCTGAAATGTGCTGAAGATGGATTCAGCTTGAGAACTGGGGTCTTGGAGTGTGGATGAGAATGCAGGATACAAACTGGCTGCAAACTAACAAAAGGAGCAGAGCACCCTCTAGGATTTAGGAGAGCTGGCTGGGGTTGGGTGAGGACTCTCATCAGCCAGACCTGTGCACCACACACTCTCTACACTCAGGCCGCTGGCAGTGAGCCAGATGGTGAATGGTGGTGATGACCCAGAGGAAGGGACAGCAGCCAGTCCCAGGCCAGTCACATAAGTTGACATTGCTTCACTCTCATAGGAGTGTATACAGGGAATTGGGAGGGGGATTACTGTGGAGAAAACCAACCCCCTGCTGCTCCCCAAGCCTCCCAAACCACTAGAGTCTCAAGTCTAAATTGTGGTGATAAGAAGAAAATATCTAAGTCTTTCCAACTGAACTGAGATTCTTAGTAATGAGAATTCAGTGATGAGCTTTGGATTGAGTTAAGATGTGGTTGAGGAAAAGGAGAGATTAGCAGAACACAATTAGAAAACAATTATTGGAAAAATAAACCAATATCATACTTATGTGTTATGTGCATGAAATTCCTCATCTAATCCATTGAACTTGTTATCTGGAAATTAATCTTCCTTTTCCTAGCTAGTCTCTTGTTTCTTGTTATGAGTTTTGTGTTCACATTACATATTTTGAAAAGATTCTTGCTTATTTTCTACCCACATAGTAATAGAATATAAAATGCCTAAGAAATAAATGGAAACATATGTCCTTGTTTGCTTCCTTGTCACATTATCACAAAGATTTCCAAAAAGTAGATGTTTTAAATAACTTACACATTTCTCTTTTTACAATTGTAATATAGATCTTTTGCAAACATGTTAACTATAAAAAAGTCATCCACACTACATTATCCGAAAGAACTCTGTTAATAATATTTACATTCTTCCTAACTTTTAAATTCATACATACAATAAATACACTTCAAAAAAATAAAAGTGTGTCAGATTATACAAGCTATTTTGTAACCCACTTTTTTCACTTTTAGCACTTAGAAAAGTGTGTGGTATATCATAAGTTTTCAATAAATACTTGTTGAATAAATCACTAAACATATTATTGTGTCATTAAACATTTTTCGGTGACATTCTTTTCCTTCACAATCGCATGGAATTCCATTGTGTGAATCATCATGCTGTATCTAGCCAGTTCCTGAACAGCTGAGGAGCAACAAGGCATGTGGTAGACACAGAGAAGCCCCATGCAGGCCCCCTTAAGGGGGAACATGCTGCCCAGCTGCTGGAATCACTGGCAGCCCCAGCCTCCACTGGCAGCCCCCTTCAGGGATTGCCTCTGCCACAGAAAACCACCTTCCTAGGGTGACCCATATCTAAAGCCTGATCACAGAGGGGCCCAATGCAGGGCATTCCTGGGCCAGGGAAGGGGGCAGGCCTGAAGCTGTCCCACCAGCTTACAGTTCTACTTCTCCCTCTGCCCAATGCTATTTCTTCCCTCTCCTTTTTGTGGGTGTTTAATTCCAAATAAATATACTGCACACTAAACTCTGTCTCAGAGTTGGCTTAACAAAATACCTAACCTGTTGCAGAGATGGTCCTGACCCGTGAGAAACTCCGAGTCTATTGATTTAAAGCACCCAGTAAATTCTAACATTACTGCCATTACTTATCACTGAACCAAGCAAAATAAACTATGGTGCTTTTTTATCATGATATGTTACACAGCCATTAAAAGAAATGTGGTTCCTTTCATTCATATGTTGCTGGTGCTGTGTGTGACACATGGTAGCAACAGAGGAAGGTGGGAAGGAAGAGGAGGGGAGGGAGGGAAGAGAGAAATTAGACCTTATCAGATAATTTCTTGAGCATTCTCTCTATGCCTGAATGTCTCACAATCTGTTCCCAGTCTTTGGACCACCTCAGTGTGAGCATGATTTGAGCAATGACTAGCCCCATAAATGTAGCATACTCAAATTATAAAAACTGAAACTAGACGTGACCCTGGGCAGATATACATGAACCAGCATGACTCTGGGCAGGCAGAACAAGAAATAGGCCTGTTAATGCACAAAAAAAGTAGAATAAAGGATCAAATCACACTAACGAAAACAAACACCCCCACCCCCCCACCCCCCCAAAAAAGCTTTGCGAGTTTCAGGAAAGCCCAGACAGCGGAAGGAGCCAGGAGTGATGTGCTGAGCCCTGTCAAGGTGCTTTCATCTGTCAGACTCACACATTCCAAAGCAGCAGAAATCTACTGACCGAAAACTTCCTGTTACTTCGACTTCAGGAGGCAGGCTCAGGCAGCATCAAGCTCAGCCCATGTGAGATGCCTCCTCCCAATCACAGACCATCCTTCCCTGGTCCTGAAGGTTCAAAGATTTGCTGCAGGGTAAAAAAGCACCTCAGGCTAGCTTGGCTTGCAGAGTGGGCCAGCATTGCTCCGGGAAGAAGAGGAGGAGGAGAGGGCACCGTGAGTAAACTGGTTTCATTCCAAAGGGAAGATAACAGGGCTCTCAATGTTTGGGTTGCTTTCTCAGGAGGGCAGCTAGCAGTCTGAAATGGGAGGAAGTTAATTTCCTGTGTTTGTTTGTTTGTTTGTTTGTTTGTTTGTTTGTTTGTAATTTAGGACATTGTGACCATTCTGTTCTCTTTTACTTTAAACTATACAAATGCTTTCTTAAACCCTTCGGTACTGTCCAGTTCTCAGAACTCAGAATGAAATTATTCTGGGGGTGTTATTCATCCACCCTGATTTCAACCCCAGATTTCCTCACCAAGAAAGACCAAGAAAACCTGGGAAAACCTGTATCACCTGATTAAAACTCAGACAACTTTCTGGACCCCCACCCTAACCCTCGTTTCCTCGTGGAGTCAGAAAACTAGAAGAAAATTTCAGGATACTGATTATATTCTTAAAATGATCAGCCTAGCAGAGAGAGAGTTTTCTGGCCTCGTCAGAAATCATGTGGTTCTGCCAACTTGCAATGGGATTTGTGAGGTAATTTACTCAGATTTCTCCTCTGGAAACAACTCTGTTTAAGGATGTATCTGTTGAAATAAGTCAACAAATTAGCTTTATAAGATGTCATTTTTATTCTTCACCAGTTAGTCAGTCCACAGGTCCTAAATATATTTTTTGTTTTAGCAACATTTCTGCATATCACACAAATTAAATTTCAAATAATGCCAGTATTATTTTTATAAATTTAAAACCCCTGTTATAACTAGTTTTAAAGATTTTTATGACTTTTAGATTTTCATTAATTTTAATGCCTTTTTTAATATCAAGGCCAATATTTATTGACCATTTCTTGCCTGAAAAGAGTTGCTAAGCATAAGAAGAAAGAATTCAGATTTATATACACACTTCAATTTTATATATATAAATAACTTTATATATATTTATAAAGTTGTATATTTATAAATAAAAGTTTATATATATAAACTGGTTGTAGAGTTTTTAAACTTTGTGAAGAAATGGTTTCTCTTTCAATTAATTCTTGTCAATGGGGAGAAAAAATTCTTTTGATTTTTCAACTCATGAAAAATCAACTCATGAACTGTAATTGAAAAAAAAAGTCAACTCACCTATTTTAACTACCTTGAAAGAATCATAGACTTTTAGATCCAAAGGACACTTTAGACACCATCTAGTAAAAGAAGGAAGGGAGGGAGGGAGGGAGGGAGGGGAAAGAAAAAAGAAAGAAAAAAGAAATCTCATAATTTATCTTTTAAAAAGATTTTATTTCTTTCTTTCTAGAGTGAGGAGAAGGGAGGGAGAAAGAGAGGGAGAGAAACATCTGTGCAAGAGAGACACATCCACTGGTTGCCTCTTTTATGTGCCTCAACCGACCCCACAACCCAGGCAAGTCCCCTGACCAGGAATAGAACAGGTGACCTTTCACTCTGAGGAATGATACCTAACCAACTGAACCACACCTGTCAGGCCTCAGAATTTCTTTTTGATCTCTACTCATACACTCTTACCCAGATCAAACACTGACAAGCCCTAGAGCATAGTTTTATTCTGCTATTGGTATCTGGGCCTCATGGTTCCCCACACCCCAATGAGTTACTGTTCCTTAACTGGGGCAGAAACCAGATTCTGAGAAGGGACCCTAACGTCACACCCCCCAAGGATTCTCCATAGTGTTTGTGCCCTGGGGCTGGGCAGCCCACTGGCATGACCTATGCCTGAAGCCCTCACTTGGCTGAGAGTGGCTGAGCCATTGCTCATCTTTGTCTTTGATGTCAGGTGGGTGTGTGACACTGAGATCATCACAACCATCATCCGGAGTCTAGAGTAGCGTTGTCCCGTAGAACTTTCTATGAGAATGGACATGTTCTGTACAGGGTGGAGCAAAAGTAGGTTTACAGTTGCTCATATGGAAACTAACACAATAATGAATAAACAATAACACAAGAATAAACCCTGAGTTTCGAGTGCTGACAACTGCAAACCTACTTTTTCCCCGCCTTTTATGATGGCCACTAACTATATGTGGCTATTGAGCACTTGAGCTGTGGCTAGCACAACTAGCGAATCCTTTTTAGTTGAAATAATTAGAATTTAAATAGCTACTTGCCGCTGCTAGGTACCATTTTAGTCAGAGCGGGTTTAGAGCTTTAAAGCAAGAAAAACTAATGGGGTTTGTGATCTGTGGCTGCCATGGTCATGGGAACCAGCTCCTCCTTTCATTACCCCCAGGGACTCAGCCCACCCGACACTGAAGTAGACCAGCAATTGTCCTGATAGAAGACCTCCACATCCGCTTTTATTCTCACCTCTAAGTCACATGTTAGGGCTAAGGCAACAGCATATTGTGTTTCTTGTTTCTTCCTTTCCTACTTCTCCTTTTATTTTCTTTTGTTTATACAAATTTCTCTAGCATGAAATAGAGTTTGAGGTGTGGTTTGTGTTATTTGGTCCAACAAACTTAGGTGAGGAAAAGAGGTCATGAAACTTGAAAAAATGATCTCATGTTTGGTGGGTGAGTCTCACTTGTTCTTTGAAAACTGGTTTGTTCAGTGAGCAGTCAATGGTTTTTAGACTTATTCAATGTGTATGGAAATATCAACACTATAGATATGAATAACATTTATAAGAAAACAAACTGAATGAAGTCACAAGAAAAAAAAAAGAAGTAAAACTCTAGCCTTTGAAAAAAAATCCCCACTCCTCAAAGCAGAACAACTCCCAAGATGTTGAGTAATTTGAATATATCATCTTAGTGCCAGGCCACTGGGCAGTTTTCCATAGGGTTGGGTTGACAGAGGCTGCTTCTTATGTGGAAAACATTTTGAGGTGAGTTGCACACTTTGAGTCAGGGGCAATATCGTTCCTGAAGTGGACAGTTGCTACTATGCCCTCTGCCTTCTTTCTACCAATCCCCCTCTTAAAAATTCACCCCATCCCATCTGCATCCTTTCTAGCTCTAGAAAAAAAAATCTAATACATATGGCAGGAAGTCCTGCTTTGGAATAATAGGAAAGTTTTGGTAAATCCCATTTTTTTTAAATGACTCAGACATGCTGGGGGCTAAACAGGAAGGGAAAAGGGAAGACACATCAAATTATTAGGAGTCACTCTCTGTCTGCAGAGACAGCACCAAGCCCCGAATCATGAGTTAGGAGGTGTGTGTCTTTGTGGGTTCTACCCTCTCTTTGGGTCCCTTCCTTTCTCATGGCATCTTCTCTCTCCCTTTGGAAACATGAGGAGGGATCTGATAACAACAGTCACAGTAACATTGACATTGATGGCTCATGAGACTCACTATGCCTCTTTTATATGGAGTATTTGCATTCTATCAGCAGCAGCAGCAAAGGAGTGATTATCTAGTTATGGGATTCCAGGAATTAGGGTGAAGAGTGAGGGAGAGTTAAAAGGGGGGAAAGAGTGAAAGGCTCTCTTCTCTCCTTTGTAGCTGTGTTATGTGACTCCCCTTGTGGCTTAACTTGTAAGGGAAAAGGGCAGGCTCAAAGGCAGGACATTGGGAGTTACTCTTAATTTTAAGGAAGCATAAAGGGAAATGGTATCTCCCTGCCTTAAAAAGAAGAATGATTAGCAACAAATTCAGTATAAGGCTGGCTTAAGAGTTAGGAGATCAGGACTCAGATCTTGACTCTGCAATGACACATTGACAATCTTGAGCAAGTTACTGCCCCTCTTGGAGCCTAAGCTTATTCATCTGTACAGTTAGGGGGCTGACTACCAAGCCTCTAAGTTTGCAGTCACAGCTGATATTCCACCATGATATGGATGGGCATGTGGCCAATAATGGCCCAAAGATAAATAACACTTTAATTTCTCCCTAATCATGTACATTCTCAATAAGACAAAAACTACAAAGAGTACAGTCATTGACTTCTAGGTGTGTCACTCATCAATTAATTTGAAGGTTTATGATTATATTTCTTGAGTGCAATTATTTGTCAAATTGACTTTTGAATGTAATCTATTCCTTTGTTGGTTCAGAATAGCTGTTTAAACAAACTTTGGTAAAGAGAAGAGGTAACAAAGTACCAGGCTAGATTGCCTTGGAGGAGACCAGTAGGGGGGAAAAGCCACACTCACACACCCACAGACAGGGGTGTGTCTGGAGAGCTGTTGGCTTAGGGCAAGGAGAGGTAAGCAAGGAAGGGAGGATAATTTTGGGTAAGGGTGCTTGAAGAAAGAAGAAGTTTTTCAGCTGAGCTTCAGATGATGCTGAGGAGTTCAACCGGCAGAGATGAGAGAAGAAATCCTAAAAGGAGAGACACCCGGAGCACAACCTGGACACGCAGGGTGGCAGAGGGAGACAAGCAGCAGGCCATCTGAAACCTGGCTGGTACTGTCTTGAATACAAGCTAAGGAGCTTGTGCTGTATCTCTTAGGCTGTTCAACCTCTCCTCCACAGTCTAAAAGGAGAATGAAATGGTTGGGTCTGGACAAATACTGTATATACAGGCAAAGGGAAGGCATTGGTGTGTCTCCAAGAGCCGAAAAGTCAAAACACTTTCAAGGTCATAAGAAATCTGGATTTGAAGAGATTGGTCAGCAAGAGAGAATGGGTGAATAAGAGGAGCCATGTGACAATAGGAAGTAAGAAGGAGCCTGTGGCAGAGCTTGTGGGGGCAGCGGGAGCTGGCCAAGGCTGTCCTTTGAATGAAGGCTATAGGGAGCCTTTGTGGGTGTTTAAGCAGGGGAGTGATATAAAATCAGAGCTGTGGTTTAGGACAGTGAATCTCAAGCCTGACTGAGTGGCTGACACTTGGCATGTTTATTTTTGTCAAGCTACAATGTACAGATATATTAAATTTGAAATAATTAAGTAGATCATTTTTTAAAGATTTTATTTATTTACTTTTAGAGAGAGGGGAAGGGAGGGAGAGAGGTAGAGAAACATCAGTGGGTAAGAGATATATTGATCGGTTGCCTCTCACATTACCCAAGCTGGAGACCTGACCCGCAACTCAGGCATGTGCCCTGGC